GTCCCCGCCCGGGGGCACCCACTGGCTCGGATGTCCCAGAGCCCCCACAGGTGTGTGGCATGCCATGTCCCAAAGTGGGATGGAGAGCTCTGCCCCTTCACAGGTGCCATCCCCACCCTGGTCCCCACTTGGCACAGGGCTGGCTGGGAGGTGTGTGATGCTGGGTCTCATCCTGGCTCTCTCCCCATGCAGATACATGAAGTACCTGTATCCCTATGAATGTGAGAAGCGGGCACTCAGCTCTCCCGGGGAGCTCCAGGCCGCCATTGACAGCAACCGTCGGGAGGGACGGAGGCAGACTTTTGGCACGGCACTCTTCAACTACTCGCCGACTGGCACCCCAACCCTGCTGGGCTCCCCCAAAATGTCTCTGCCGGCTCTTAGCATCTCCACGCACAGCTGCAGCCAGCTTGGTCAAATGCACGCTGTTAAGAAAGGTGGGTGAGGACAACATCTACCCCATGGTGGGCATCTCTCACCAGGGATGGACACTACTCTGGCAGCGGGGATGTTCCCTGTCTGCTCTCACCTTTTTTGCTTGGGGAAGATAGGAACAATTTTGGTTTTTTTAGTCCCTCTCTGGGACTGAGGAAGGCTTCTTTCTCCTGGCTTTGGAGGAAGACCAAGCCCAGATACTGGGGGTGGCGGCACACCCTGCCCCATGCTTCTGGGATGCATGTGGCACCGGCTGGGGATGGTGAGATGGGGTGGTGATGGGGGGGACCCGCTGAGCTCTCTTGGTCGTTGCAGAGGATGGCGTGCTGGCAGCAGCAGTGCCGGGGCGCATCGCTATCCCAGTGGGACTGGCTGGCCACCATCTTGCAGCGGCCCAAGCAGCAGCCGCCTCGCAGGCAGCCGTGCTGGAGCAGCTGCGGGAGAAGCTGGAGACAGGGGAGCCACCGGAGAAGAAGGTGGCTCTGACGGCAGAGGAGCAGCAGCGGCTGGTGCAACATGCACTGCAGCACAACCTCCTGGCTGTGGCCTCCCAGTTCCCCATGAACGTCAAGATCTCCAACCGAGGTAGCGAGATGCAACACCTCAGCTTGGGTCACCCCATTCCCAGGCACCCCAGGAGGGAGCAGCAGCAGCTGGAGAGGAGCATGGATGCCTGGAGAGGCCAGGGCCCTGTTTCTCTTTCTTGGGTAGGTTCTCGTTTCTGTTTCTTTTAACACTCATATTGGTATTTCCTTTCCCCAGATGACAGACAGGAGACCGCACTGAACCTGTCCACCAACGGCATTAGCAGTATCAACATGTCAATAGAAATAAATGGAGTTGTCTACACAGGTAAATAGAAGGGCCGCTTGGCCTGTGTAATTGCGGCCGGGAAATCCAATAACTTATAGCCACTGCCTGACCAGCAAGTCCTTCCTTCAATCTGATGTCTTTACTATAAAATCCATTGTAATGAAGTGGCAGGGC